TTTCAGTTCCATTTTAATGCAGATAACGAATATGTATTTACCTCAAGGGGTAGGTCACTCCGCACACCAATCTTGGGTTAAAAATTTTCTCAGTGTGCCTCAAGTGTGCCGCAGGTGTGGTGATTGTGCCGGTCATAGAGCAAGCTTTGATTTTTTGCAAAATACGAATACTATGGTATATATGGCAACCCGGTATTTCTGACGATTACTGTTCTGTGCGAAAAGTCCATCTTTTTCCTGACCAGCAAGAAGATCGACTTCTGGAAGCAGATCGAGAAGGCCGATAAGGAGAACATTCCGTCGGTGAAGCTGTTGGTTTGAGATAAAAACGACAAAGACAAAGCCAACTTTGAAAAGCTCCTGTAGCGAGCGTGTTCTAGATGCACTTCCACAGTTATTAATGGAATGCTGAATTAATTGACCAGGAATCGAAACCGCTGCCTCCGGCTTAGTAATATAGTAATGACCCAATTTTGTCAGCGCATCGAGCTTTTACCACTAAAAAAAGCGTATGGTTTTCGTAGAACATTAGAAAATATTTTCAAAAAGGGTGCTGACAAAATTGGGTGATTACTGTACCTTGCCTTTACTGACTAGGCTATCTGAGGCCCCTGAAGTACTTGGTACTGTTCTGAAATTAATGGAACTATCTCGAAAACCTTCGATGCGTCCCTGAAGTTCTCTCCGTAATATTTCTGATATTTTCTTCAGCTCTCTGGAGTTTTCTGGACTTTCCTGAAATTTCCGAATCTTCTTTTGAAATTTTGCAGAAGTATATGGAACTAAAATCTTCTGGAGTTTCCTGATGTTCTTGGAACATCCCTAAAATTATTGGACCCATCCTGAAGATCCTAAAGATCTTAAGACCTAGCTTCTTTGACTTCCCTAATGTTTCGAAAAACGTCCTAAAGTTTTCTCTTCTCTGAAGTTCTCTTAATTGCCTTGAAGTTTTCAGATTTTCTTAAAAGATCCTGAAGTTTTTCTGAAGCTAATGGATCCCCCTTTAGAATTACTAAGCCTTCCCAAAATTTTCAAAATCTTTTTGGAAATTCCCTTATTTTCCCACGGTTTGTTTATGAAACTTCTCTGAAATTCTCAAAATATTTCTTAAGTTCACTAAATTTCCTTCAAGTTCATTGAACTATTCATAAACTATCGGAACTTCTTGAACTTACCTTACCAATCAGGCTAAGGTCTTGTTGTCCTCTGCACTCTACTCGATCCATGGCCACACTTCGCCAGCTTCGTAGTCTGCGAAGGGTCCGCAGGTCGCCTTCTACTTGGTCGATCCACCTTGCCCGCTGCGTGCCTCTTTTTCTTGTTCCTGTTGAATCGCTTTCTAGAACCATTTTCTCTGGGTCGTCGTGCGGTATTCTTACGACGTGCCCAACCCACCGTAGTCGCCCATTTTTTGCAATGTGGACGATGGATGGTTCTTCCAGCAGCTGGTGCAACACCAAGGGCGCATTGGTCCTTCACGAGCATAGTTCAGGTCTCGTGGCCGTAGAGGACCACCGGTCTAATCAGTGTCTTGAAGATAGTCAACTTCGTGCGGCTGCAAATTTTATTCGACTGGAGCGTCCTTCGGAGTCCAAAGAAGGCACGATTCCCTGCCATAATGCGTATTTGAATTTCTCTGCTGGTATCATTTTCGGCGGTCACCAGTGAGCCCAATTACACGAACTCATCGACCACCTCGATTTCGTCACCGTGAATCTGAACTCGGGGTGGGAGGCTAACATTGTCTTCCCTAGAACCTTTTCCTTGCATGTATTTTGTCTTTGATGCGATGATGGCAAGTCCAATCCGCCTAGCTTCATCCTTCAGTCTGATGTACGTTTCCGCCATCGTTTCAAAGTTCCGTGCCATGATGTCGATGTAATCTGTAAAGTAAAGAAGCTGGATGGACTTCCTGAAGATCGTGCCACTCGTGTCTATCCCTGCTCATCTGATCACACCTTCTAACGCGATGTTGAATAGCAGACACGAAAGTCCATCACTTTGCCGTAGCTCCCTTCGAGATTCAAAGGGATTCGAGAGTGCCCCGATACTCGAACAACGCACATCACTCGATCCATCGTCGCCTTGACCAATCACGTCAGTTTATTCGGAAATCCGTACTTCTTGAAGGTTCCTGCTATTTTCCTGAAATCATGTAACTGCTCAGAAGTTTTCAGAACTGCCATGAAGATCACTAATCAAATCTTGCTGTCTTCCTGAATTTAAAGGATCTGCACTCAAGATCATTTTTTCTGAAATCTCTGGAACTTTTCTTAAGGTATCGGATCACATTGGCATTTTTTAAATTTCAATTAAATTCTCAGAACGTTTTGAAGGCTCCTGAATTTGGCTGATGTTAATGAAACTATCGTGCTCACAAGCTCAAATTGTTTGAAAATGGATAGATTATGGTTTATCAAGTAATTTTAAATTCTACGTCTTACGGAAAGGTACAGGGAGCAAATCGAAAATCTAAAATTGTGACCGTCACGATAAGATGTTAGAGTTTGAACGCTTATAACTGTGTCATTGATAGATGAAAATAAAATCCAAATATACCAACCGATAGGAAATAATTCTACTAGTGTTGCGAGAGGAATGACAGGCAACGCACTGATTTTCGCAGCTATATTGACGTATGCTTCAAAGCAATTGTTACAGTTTTGAAGCATACGTCAATATTGCTGCGAAAATCAGTGCGTTGCCTTTCATTCCTGTCGCAACAGTCTTCAAAAGTTTCATCTTTGTGATGAGTCATCATTCCGCTACTAATGGATGCGCTGGATGCAACGGGCCAGATGAAGCGGACAATATGGTCCAATGCGATGCATGCGATGCATGGTGGCACTTAAGTTGTACGGGCGTTTCAAGTTCGATTACCGATCGTTCGTGGGTGTGTACCCGGTGCAAACGAGCCTCTCGTGCTTCGTCGAGAGTCAGCGCCACGAGTCGATCTTCGTCGCGTTTTGCGGACAGTATGGCACATCTGCGAGAACGTCAAGAGTTGGAGAAACAGCGCGCGGATGTTGAACTTGAAAAGAAGTTTCTGCAGGAGCAACGACAGCTCTTGGAAGCTACGATTGCCGCCGAGGAGGAGAAAAGGAGCCGGGTGAGTCGTGGTGATATCCTGAGAAGAGTTCAGGACTGGATCGGGAACAGCGCGGATCAGCAAACTAGCGTGGCAGGAGATTCAAGTGCGAGCGGCTTCAGCGATTCAGCAGCATATTTCTGATCTAAGTCAGATGGATCCAGATGCTGGAGCGGTAGGAGGCAACAACGATGAATTGCCCTCGGGGTTGCCGTCAGATTTTGACATCCAACAACACAGTTCTCCTCTTCGTGATCCAACTGTTTCCGTATTGGAAGAGATCGATAATTCGATGGGACCAAATGCTCTTCACGATTATGTGGATCAGCGCTAGGCGATGGACTTAATTCGTGATTTGCGAGCGTTGTCTAGAGCAATCGGAACCGACTTACCCTCAGTTTGCTGAGTTACAACAACAGTTGGAAATCTGCAAGAATGAGATCCAAGGGATACATTCGACCGTCCATCGTTTAGCGATGGTATCTTCATCCGACGCACAAGTAGGGGCACTGAATACGGAAGAGGCAGGTGGGAACCGAGATGAAATACTTGCGCAGCCAGACGCAGCGGAGGTAGGTGCCATCGCCAAGCAGTACCCAAGTGTATTCCCTCCAGGTAAGTGTCATGCCTCTGAGAACCAAACCGATCATGCAAACGAAAACAATGTCTCTCAACCGAAATCATTTCCAACCATGCAATTTCCCCCACATGAGCAGCAGCGTTTTCCTCCCGCGCGCTCTAATATGATAAATAACAACCCCATGTTACAGACACAGACTAGCCAATGTACGCCTTTCCCCCAACTTACACCCACACAGCAACCCCCCGGGCAGCCTTTAGTGCGTCAGCCTGTATTGCAGCAGCCTCCAGTGGAGCAGCCTCCTGTGAAGCAGCCTCCTGTGCAGCAGCCTCCAGTGCAGCAGCATCCAGTGCAGCAGCCTCTAGTGCATCAGCCTGTATTGCAGCAGCCTTTGGTGCAACAATATCCATTGCAGTCGCTTCCAGTGCGGCAGCATCCTGTGCAGCAGTACCCTGAACAGCAGAATCCAGTGCAGCAGCATCCAGTGCAGCAGCATCCTGTGCAGCCACATCCAGTGCAGCAGCATCCAGTGCAGCAGCATCCGGTGCAGCAGCATCCAGTGCATCAGCCTTTGATGCAGCCCTTTGCGCGTCAGCCTGTATTGCAGCAGCCTTTAGTGCGTCAGTCTGTATTGCATCCGCCTTCGGTGCAACAGTATCCAGTGCAGCAGCCTCCAGTGCAGCAGCCACCATTGCAGCAGCCTTCGGTGCATCAGTATCCACTGCAGCCGCCTTCGGTTCAGCAGTATCCAGTACAGCAGCTTCCGATGCATCAGCCCCCGGTGCAGCAACGTTCAGGACAACAGTCTTCGGCTAATGACCTGCCGATATTCTCCGTGGTATGGAGTTGGTGCCCACACAACAACAACTCACCTCGCGTCAATCATTGGCTCGTGATCTCCCGGCGTTCTCTGGGGATCCCGCTGAATGGCCGATATTTATTTCCAATTTCGAGTACACAACGAGAACATGCGGCTACAGTGATGGAGAGAACATGGTTCGGCTCCAAAGATGCTTGCGAGGACGTGCATTGGAGAATGTTCGAAGTCGTCTAGTGTTTCCGGCAGCAGTTCCACAAGTAATAGAAACTCTACGTATGAGATATGGGCGTCCGGAGTTGCTAATCAACGCCTTGTTGGAAGCGCTTATTGAGTATGGGATGGCCGTTCAAGAATTGTGTGACCACATTGAAGCGGTGAATGAACGAGCTTATTTGTCAAACCCTACTCTTCTGCAAGAGCTTGTTGGAAAACTGCCCGCTGATCAGAAGCTGATGTGGGCAGGTTATAAAAGAGGACGTGCAGTTGTGGACCTGAAAACCTTCAGCGAATACATGACTGGACTGATACAGGATGCTTCAAGCGTGGTACTGTACGAGTCGGATTCACGGAAAAACAAAGGAAGAGAGAAAACGAAGGCATTCGTAAGCTCACACGGGACCAAGGTCGACGAGGTGTCCACTCCGAAAGCGACGCAATTCAAGTCGGGTGCATGTCTACATTGCGAAAAAGAAGGTCATGAGCTTCGGGAGTGTCAAACGTTTAGAGCGCTCTCCATCGACGATCGTTGGCGACGGATTCGGGCACTAAGCGTGTGTCAAATCTGTCTATTCGGACATGAAAGAAGAGCTTGCCGCAGTAACAACCGATGCAACGTTAGCGGATGTCAGTTCAAGCATCATCCTCTATTGCATGGGAAGTCGACAGCACCTGCAACTCAAGTTGGTAACAGTCACACTCATCGGCTTCTGGATTCGGGTGTCTTGTTCCGGATTATACCCGTGACGTTGCACGGAAAGTCAGGGAAAGTTGATACCTTCGCTTTTCTGGACGAAGGCTCGTCATTGACGCTAGTCGAAGGTGATCTGGTAGCGCAGCTTGGGTTGGCAGGAGAACCACGTCCACTCTGTCTGAGATGGACCGGGGATACGTCGCGGGTAGAGAAGGAGTCACAGACCGTGACAATTACAGTTTCGGGACCGAATCAGAAGCGATATTACAAACTTATAAATGCTCGCACGGTACAGAATTTGAACCTACCGACGCAATCCTTCGAACTAGAAGAGGCAGCTAAGAAGTTTGCTCACTTGAAAAAGTTGCCAATTCAAAGCTACAACTACGCCAGACCGGAGATTCTAATCGGGCTAGACAACTTAAAGCTTGCTGTACCATTGAAGACAAGAGAAGGAGATGGATCAGGACCCATTGCCGTCAAAACACGACTAGGATGGTGCGTCTACGGGCGGCAAGATTCAACGAGCAGCGAGGACTACAGCTTCCATTTTTGCGAATGTACGAGTAACGAAGCGTTGCACGAGAGTGTTAAACAGTTTTTCGCTGTGGAAGAGAATGGGGTACAGCAACTCGGGACCACTCTCACTGCGGAGGAAAAGCGTGCTCAAGAATTATTGGGAAAAACAACGAAGCGTGTTGGTAGACACTTCGAGACGGGCCTACTGTGGAACGGTATGGCATTGCGAAGACATCAGTGTCTCCAACGGAGGATGGAACGCAAACCAGCTCTGAGAGAAAACATCAGCCGTCAAATCCGAGAGTACGTGGAAAAAGGATTCGCACATAAAGCAACTCCTGCTGATTTGAACAATGCGGATCCCAGGAAAGTTTGGTTCTTACCATTGGGAGCAGTTACGAATCCAAACAAACCTGGAAAGGTGCGCCTTGTATGGGACGCGGCGGCCAAAGTTTCTGGTGTATCGCTGAATAATGTGTTACTGAAAGGGCCGGACCAACTAACGCTCTTGCCTGCCGTACTCTTCCGTTTTCGTCTGTACTACGTAGCTGTGGGTGCATACATAGAGCAAATGTTCCGTCAGTTAGGCATTCGATTATCCGATAGGAACTCGCTGCTTTTCCTGTGGAGTGAAACACCCGATGGACCGGTAGAGATTTACCTGATGGACGTTGCGACGTTCGGTGCCACTTGCTCGCCTGCGTCAACACAGTATGTGAAAAATTTGAATGCCAAGGAACACATCCAGCAGTACCCAAGGGCCGTCGAAGGGATATTGAAGAGTCACTACGTCGACGATTACCTCGACAGCTTTGGCAGTGAAAGTGAAGCGGAGAAGGTTTCAGCAGAGGTGCGACTGGTTCATCACAACGGAGGATTCCATCTACGAAATTGGAGATCGAACAGCGGAAAAGTCTTGGCGGAACTTGGGGAATCAGCGGTAGTAGACAGCAAGAACCTGTATGTTGATTGCGGTGAACAAGTGGATCGAGTACTCGGCATGCTGTGGTCATCAAGATCGGACGAATTGAGTTTCTCCACCCGTATGAGTGATGAAGTTAGGAACCTCCTGGACAGCGGCGCTCGGCCGACCAAACGTCAAGTATTACGATGCGTAATGTCACTGTTTGACCCGTTGGGATTATTCGCACCGTTCATAATTCACGGGAAGGTGTTAATCCAGGATTTGTGGCGGGCTGGAACAGACTGGGATGAAGCGGTAGGCGATGAAGTGTTTGAGCACTGGAATCGCTGGACAAGGATGATCGAGTTCATTTCAACCGTGAAGATACCGAGGTGTTATTTTCCCAGAGCCACCACAGAAACGTACAAGGATGCTCAACTTCACGTATTCGTCGACGCCAGTGAGATTGCTTACTCGTGTGCAGCTTACATTCGAACGACCGTAGGAGATGGAGCACCTGCTTGTGGAGCACCGCACAAACCGATGTCCATTCCAAGGTTGGAGCTGCAAGGATGCGTTCTCGGTACACGTCTACTAAAATTCGTAGAAGACAATCATCCAATCACTTTCTCTAAAAGGTTCCTCTGGACGAACTCTACGACAGCGCGATCATGGATCCGGTCGGACCCACGGCGCTACAAGCCCTTCGTAGCTCATCGAGTAGGAGAGATACTGGAGAGTACAGATGTAAGCGAGTGGAGATGGGTTCCATCCAAGCTTAACCCAGCAGATGAGGCAACCAACTGGGGCCGAGGACCTTACTTCGATCACAATAGCCAATGGTTTGACGGGCCAGAATTCTTGCGACTTCCACAAGAAGCCTGGCCAAAGGCGGCCGAGTCAACTGAATCTACTTCCGAAGATGTCAGACCGTCCGTGTTGTTCCATATCGTAGTTGAACCAGTACTGGACTTCGAACGATTTTCGTCGTGGAAGAGAATGCTACGCACCACAGCATACGTCTTACGTTTCCTCTATAACACCTCCAAACCGGAGCAGAAGTTGCTTGGACCGCTTACACAAGCTGAGCTACTCGGCGCTGAGCACACGATTTTGAAACGCATACAGCGGGAGAGTTATCCCGATGAAACGGCCACCCTCGAACGGAATAAATGCGAGCCGAACGACAACCAGGTGCCCCTTGAACGGAAAAGCAAGCTGTTTAAGTTGATGCCTGAAGTAGACGACGTCGGTTTGATGCGACAACGGAGCTGTATAGTAGCCGCGACGGATGTGACCTACGATGCCCGGCTTCCGATTATTTTGCCCTCAAAGCACCGGGCGGTGAACCTTCTAATAGAAGATTATCATCGCCGTTACCGGCATGCGAATAGCGAAACCGTCGTTAACGAACTTCGTCAGCGCTACAACATCCCCAACTTACGTCAGCTTGTGAAGAAGGTCGCGTATACCTGCCAGCTGTGCAAGATCCGCAAGGCTATTCCTAGAAATCCACCGATGGCTGCACTTCCTCCAGCTCGTCTTGCGATGCATGTTCGTCCGTTTAGCTACGTGGGTCTGGATTATTTTGGTCCTCTTCTAACAAAAGTGGGAAGATCAAACGTGAAGAGATGGATCGCTCTCTTTACGGGTCTCACTGTACGAGCCGTACACCTCGAGGTAGCGTACAGTTTGTCAACGGCTTCCTGCATATCCTGTGTACGACGATTCATCGGGCGCCGAGGATCGCCGATCGAAATCTTCAGCGACAATGGAACGAACTTTCAATGAGCGGAACGCATTCTTCGAGAACAGATATGCAAGGAGCTGTCGGTGACGTTCACCAACACATGTACGAAGTGGAGTTTCATTCCTCCTGGAGCACCGCATATGGGGGGTGCTTGGGAAAGGTTGGTACAGTCTGTCAAAGGGGCTATGAAGGATGCATACACATAGGGAAAGTTGCACGATGAGGAGTTGTTAACGCTGGTTGTAGAAGCAGAGAGCATTGTTAACTCAAGGCCTCTGACATATTTACCCTTGGACTCAGAGGAGTCTGAAGCTTTGACGCCAAATCACTTCCTTCTGGGAAACTCGAGCGGAGCAAAGCAGGGTGGTGTCGACGTTAGAGAATCCCAGAAGAACCTGCGGGAAACCTGGGGAGGAATTCAACGACAGCTGGACAAATTCTGACAACGGTTTCTGGTGGAGTATCTACTAGTCATCAGAAGATAACCGAAGTGGTTCAGCGAAACCAAACCCTTGCAGATCGGAGACCTTGTACTGGTCGTGGACGACGGTAAGCGTAATGAGTGGGTTCGAGGCAAGGTGATCCATATCTTCCAAGGAGCCGATGGCAGAGTTCGCCAAGCAGCTGTGCAGACACGACAGGGAACCTTCAGGCGACCGACATCGAGACTTGTTGTGCTCGACGTAGATGATCGTGGTGCTGTCTCAGCAGACGGTGGGAAGCACCGGGGGGAGAATGTGAACACCAGTACCGTCGAGTTGGTCACCCTACCCTCAACCGGTTCCACCGGCAGATGGCAACGATGAGAAAGAGTAAACAAATGTAGAATAGTAAACAGATAAACAATACAGATAGACAAGGTGGAGTTTATTTCAATAGTCTACTAAAAATCAGTTGTTCTGCAAATGAATTATTTGCCTTAGTGCCTAAATTTACATTCCTTTACATACTTAAAACTAGTGAAGGTAAGAACGCTTAGTGAAATCTTAAAATGTAAGTTTGCATTGAATTACTAAAATTAACCATTCACTAAATTAAAACAATTGTTACAGTTTTGAAGCATACGTCAATATTAGCTGCGAAAATCAGTGCGTTGCCTTTCATTCCTGTCGCAACAACTAGGTATATAATTTTTCCCTCTCTCTCACTCTGCCGGCTTACAGGAAAACTTCCTCGCAGCGGACGGGGTGTGATGAGTTATATCACCTTGACAACCTGCGGTGGGGTGGTAGGAAACTCACATCTGCAACGAGTTGTTTTTGTTTTAAGCTCAATTAACATCTACTCGATATCATGCGATCCGGCGATTTTCCATAACTGAAGAGTCAATCGTATGATATCGGGCAGGTGTGAGATGAGCAAGGAGACCAGTGAATCAGGAAAAAGCCGAGAATTCGAAGTCAACGTGAGTTTCAATAATAAATCGGGAAAAATTACTTAATCTGTAATACCAATGAATTTCAGAGAAAATTAAACGGAGTTTTAGAAAGAACTCTTAGGGATTTTAAACTTTCACGTCAATTCACTTGTGTGAGTTTGGATTCAGAGATTTCCATGTAGCTCTGTGGAAAATTACAAGTATATCGTGAAGAAGATATCAGGGTTCGTAAAAAAACCCAAACGGATCGAAGTTTGAGGTTATAATTCCAAATGAATTCTAGAAATAATTTTAACGGAATTCCAATGGAAGCACAAAACGAATTTCTAAGAGAATTTTCTGAAATTTTCCAGAATTTTCAGAAAATGACCTTGCAACGCTGATTGTGACATTTTGTTTTTCCTCTGTTCGGGATCTAACACCACTGCGACCAGTAGTTTGTCTATTGTAGTATATCCCGTGTCCTTAGTTTAGTGCATATCGTATTACTCCATCACTATTGAGAAATGATGAAGTATTCGATTTTTTTACAGTTGTCATTCTTGCATTTATCGCATGGATCCGACTCTAATTGAAAGATCCCGCTATTTATACCCTTCGGAGTGTTGAAACACCCTCCGCGCCCCTTTGTCAGTCAAAATTGGATTCCTTAGCAACAAAATTAAGGAATGACACCGATAATGACCATGCATCAGAACCCTAGTCTTAACCACTTGAAACTAGGGAACAACGAATAGAAGATCAGGAATCACAAAGATGAAGACTAACTTACAAATTTTTTCCTTGTTTCAAGATCATCCTCGGTGGACAAAGCCGAGTCTTGTCACTATCAACAAGGCATAAAAAGTAATAAGGACTAAGATGTGTTCCTGAAAAATCCTGTTCCCCTAGTTTGAAGTAGTCAAGACTAGGAATCGGTGGTAGATCTTACATCCCGTACGTACCATGAAAAGGTGATCTACCCAAATTACGGGGCAGTATAGGTTACGTAAACTGTAAACGTAAATCAATATCAAGAACAATGCACGAGAAGTTTTCTAAACAGCTTAATGTAGTCTACGTCAACCATGTCTTGCACACAACCTCACTTTTTTTTTTTTTTTTTTTTTTAATTAAATTATCAAAAAATATTTATATATCTTCAGCCAAATTGTCCCGCCCCTTGTTGTCAATTTATTCTGAATTTATAAGATTTCATTCGGCCAAAAATTATACCAGAAAGAAAACTGTTCAAGTGCGAAGTAATCGGAAGTTTACAAGCGTCCGGAACTGATAAGCTAGTGATTACTTACACTTCCTTGAACAGTCGCCGGTCCTTTTTTTAATTTTATTTGAGCAATCCAACGAACAGATGTCTTGTTCCCTACCGGTTTGCCTCGTTAAAAAAGTAACAAAATTGCAGGAATTTTCAATTAACACAAACGGAAAGCAACGGACGTGACATCCCACTGTGCAAAGCAAAAAAAAAAGAAGCAAAATGGGGTGTGAGAAAACAAAGACAACGCGCGCTCGCCTGCTTCGTTTGTTTTCTTTTCGCTTCGAACTGACAGTATAGGTCCACGAAAGGGGGTTGAACGAAGGGACGACCCCCGCCAAAAAGAATTTATTGTCATTTGTTCTTGTCTCGCAAGGATGCCATCGTAATACCCAACCAACCAAACAAACGGCCGGAAACCACTCGTTTAAACTGGTGAAAAACGAGAGACAAACGGAAACCACCCGATCCACCTGTGGTTTTTAGGGGCGTCGTCACCCTTCCTTGTGCTTTTCGAGGAAGGATCCCAGGCAGGGCTTACTTTTCAACATGATAAAAAAAAAATCACTTTCTTTTCATTCACCCTCTTGGGTGTGCGTCCAGTCGAAAGCCCTCTAAGACCGCCGGGGCTTAACTCAATTGGTCCCCATTCAAAAAAACGGAACATGGAACAAGCGTCCGATTAGTATTGCGCCACAATAACCTGCCGACCGACAACAATCATCCTTGAACTAGATCCAAATCCGGTTTGTAAACATATGTTTCACCTACTCGTCCCTTCACAAGTTCCTTTTATCGTTAGTATTATCGTTTGGCAATTGCCCAAACGCAAGCCCGGTCAAACCGAATCCAATGTTTTTGTTGCGAAATAGGAAGCAACCGAAGGATTCAGGAAGTATTATACGGATAAATAAAACAACGCATTATTGTATCAGTTCAGTGCGGCGGAATCGAGACAAAAGTTTTTCCGGCTTTGGCAAATTGGCTAAATCAACACAAATGGATAGCTGCATGGTGGGCGCGCCGCGAATGAACGGGGGAACAGCAAACTACACCCGGCTTGCTTAGATGCAATGGAGACGCTTGGTGCGGATTTTGTTCGCCCTTTGCCTGGCTCTGATGCTGAGCTTGGCGGTTTTTTTTTCTCTCTTCCTCTGCCTACCACCTTCATCAGAATGGATTATTGTTTATTCAATCGTAGCAAGCATTTTTGCTCTTCGTTCTTGCGGCAAATGAAATGGTATATATGTAGGGGGTCATGGGGCGTAATGTAGCCCCGAGGCGAAATTACTTTTTGCCAGTTTTAAATGAAACATTGAACTAGCAATGCTGATTCACAGGTCCTCGAAAAAAACGTAAACAACGAAATGTTGCCCCGGGGATTCATCTTACCCCAGAAGCCCTTACATACATGCTGTGGCTTAAGTCCGGGGAGATTTGAACATTGTTGGTCCGTTGCGGGGAAATGATTTATTGAAATGGTTTGTTGATTTCTGCTGGGTTTGGCGGGGATGAGGGAACAGGAGCACGTTGATTAAAGTTTGTTGGTATTGTTGGTTGTGTTTTTTTTAATGAAATTTATCACTTACACATGATAAATTCGTAAACGTTGTAAATATTCCTGTTTTAATCACGCTTTAAAGAGTATTTACTGACCTGACAGCAATGGAAGCAATGGAATGTGACCAAGTTAATCGATGTCTGGTTTTCATTATTTTATTGGCAGACCAAAGTTGGCTCTCGTGGGGAATAGAATAACTTTGTTGGAGTTCAGCGAGTGGCTGTACAAATTTGCAGAAGCAGCGAGCACGGTGACGATGCCTCAGTTCTCGAGTTCCTTCGACAACAAGACACGCTGGGAACGGAAGAACGATGGATTTCTGAACGCACATACCGAGACGGTTCCCAAAGTCAATCAAAGCGACGTTGATAGCGGATGTGTCATCTGTAATGGCAACTGCGCAGCAGTTTCGAAGTGCAAACTATTCGTTGCAATGGATCTTTCCGCTCGGTGGGCTGCACTTCGGGAACACAAATTATGCCGTTGCTGCCTGGAGAGTCATCGAGGTCCCTGTAAGTCCGGGAAGTCGTGTGGTAAAAACGGCTGCCAATACAAACACCATCGGATGATGCACAACGATGCGAAAGATAAATCTATAGCGTCGTCTCCGTCGAGTTCGACACCGACTACTTCTACTTCACAGCAGGTCAGTGCGAGTAGTTCCCGAGAAACCAGATCATGCAACACGCACCGAGGAGAAAACAGAGCTGTACTATCCCAGTACGTTCCAGTTACGCTGTACAATGATGGGACCAAGGTACAAACCTATGCGTTCCTGGACAGCGGATCTTCCTTGACACTGATGGAGGAAAGTTTGGCGAAGGAGTTGAATTTGCGCGGTGAAAGG